TTTAAAAATAAAACTTAAGGTTTTTTTTTAAGAATAGTTGTTTTTGTATTTTAAAATATTTTTATTTTTTTCTTTGTTTCAAATAATTTTTTTTTGATATTTTTAAATTCTTTTAAAGTATTAATATTAAAAATAATTCTTTTAAAATTTAAAAAATAATTATTATCACAAACTTCAAACTCACAACCTCATATATAAACTGCTTTATAAGAAGTTTATGTGAGGTGAGTTCGACTCTCGTATCCTTCAAACTAGGGAATTAAAGCAGAACATTTCTTTAAAGAAAAGGAAAAATTTAGACGAAAATCAAATAGTTTTCTTAATATATTTGTTTTCATTTTGATTCAAGTTTAAGGAAACGTAAATATAAACAAACTGAATACACGAATAAAAAGAAAGTTTAAACTTCTAGGCTTGATTGTGAAAGGATTTAAGGCTAAGAACAGTGCTTTAATATGGTCACACCAGATCATAATAAGAGGTGAGGAAAGGTAAATCTGGAACTCCTTCAGTAACATCCTAATCTAGTATACCTTTGTTATAGCTAAAGGCATGCTTCAGTATTCAGCCTTTGTGCTTGAACGCGAGACAATTTCTTGTTTCATGGTACACTATGATATTAGATTTTTGCCTTGACGAATACTGAATCCATTGGTGCTTCTTCTGTCACTGGGATTGTGATCAGCCCAGTTCGAGTCACAAAAAATATTTAAGTTGATAGTGAAAGGTGTATAAAAAAGGTCATAGTCAGTTGTGTCTTTCAAATAGCGAATGATCTTTTTGGCTGCAGTCTAATGATAGTCTCGTGGACTCTGCATAAAATGACTTCACCGGTTTACTGCATAGAAAATATCCAGATGTATAATGGTGCAGGCTTGCAGCACTGCAAGGCACTCGCCACACGCTTGGATAATGTTTAGGTTTTGATTTTCCTGTTTTAGAACATGTTATGATGATAACTTTATCATAACTTGTTCTAAAACTCTTTCCATTGTTTAGATTACAACTTTCTCTATGCCTCAGGCTCATGGCTTGTTCCCTTTTAAACTGAGAAGTAATGTTTTTGGTCTTTATGGCTGGATCCTAACTGCAGATGTAATTCACAAGAGCTGCTTAAAGGAAATGTGAGGTCATTATCAGTGAGTTCCCCTCCAGCAGCTGTTTCCAGTTGCTTCTTTAATGGTTTGGAAACTTGCAGAGATTTATACTTGTTACTGTTACAGTCTGTGATATGTCTGAGGTATGGGGGAGAAATTGGACGTGGAAATTGCAGCTACACCAACGCCAGAACCTTACCAGAATAAAAAGGTTGACTGTGATATGTCTGAGGTATGGGTGAGAAATTGGACGTGGAAATTGCAGCTACGCCAATGCCAGAACCTTACCAGAATAAAAAGGTTGATTCTCTCTTCCTCTTCAGTATTAGTATATTAACCATTAAAACTATTTTTAAAGATCTGCAAATTTATCAAATTTTCCCAAGACGCTGAACCAGCTTGCTGCTTGTTAAATACACTAATGATTGCTCTGCGGGTTTGGATCCTTTGCAATGATTGTGGAAAGACCTCAGAAGTGCAGTTCCATGTAGTAGCTCAGAAATTCCTGAACTGCAAGTCCTATAATACTCGTCAAACCAGAGGCTGAGATAACTTCCACGATGAAGATGATGATAACTTCTATGCTGAATAAGCTGTCAATATGAAAACTTCACTGAGTTCTTGCCTCTGCTTTTCATTTTTTCGTCATTTTCATGATCATTTTGTTTCCATTTTTTTCCTCCCTCCAATTGGCCTGTGTATAAGAAACCACCAATCAAGGTGGTCGTGCAAGTAAAGTTGGTGGTCATGCAAGTGAAGTTGTAGCTTCCGTTTCTAGATTTTGTTTCCTTGTTTTTTAAAATAATCGAAGATTTACTGCAAGAGTACTTAAGCCAAGTAACTCTTATCTTGGGCCTCGATGAGAAGGCTCAGGCCCAATATTGTGGGCTTGATACTCTTACTTTCACACTTAAATGGGCCACAACTGTAAACTCAACAGCACAGTCCAATCTCGTTACAAGAAAGGAGGGAACCAACGGCTAGCCATCAAAGGCCACAACAACGCTACAAAGTTGTTTTGTTTATTCTTGCGTTTTTTATTTACTTTAATTTGGTTAAAAGAATTTCTGGTAAGTAAATAAAAAATGATAATTTTTAAAGGAAATATAGAGAATTTCATAAAAATAAATTTAATTTGAATAACACAGTTTGTATTTTTCCAAGTTAAAAAATATTTTAAAATAAAAAATGAACATTTTTTATTGAAAAAAATTAGAAAGAGAAAAAAGGAAAGAAAAAGGAAGAGGTTTTTTGGGCCTAACTTTTTCAGATCTTCTCATCTCTCTCTCTAAACACACGGCAACACTAAAACCCACACCATCCCACTCACTTTTAAAATATAGGTTTGGCAGAAATAAGTCTTTGAACAAAAATTTGATGGGTTTGTACTCAATATTGAAGGGAGCATGTCAGTTTTTTTGAGAAAAGGACTCATAGAAATGTTTTTAGTTAGAACTGGTCCGTTGGCAAGCAATCCGTGAACCAAATTCTTTTAAAACGCAAAATAAAATATTAAGAATGCAGATAATTTTTTCATAGTATTGTTAAATTTGGCAAGTGCATCAATTTAAAACCTTTTATTGAGTTCTTTACCTTATTTGAGTTTTTAATTAAACCTAATGAGAGTTAGTTTGATTTAAATAGATTAATTTTATAAGTTTTGATGCTCGATAAAAACACGTTGGAAAGTTAAATCTTGAATATTAATTTAATATTAAAAAATAAAATTAATAAAATATAGCATGTGCTTCAAAAAAAAAAACCTTGATGAACTCAACCAACCAGGTAAAATCATAACACAAGTTATGGGCGTCATTAAATTCAATGAATCTTTTATTCAAAAGTTATTTTTCTTTTAATTACGTTATTATAAAACATAAGATAATGTTTTTGTATTAAGTATTTTTTTAGATTGAAAAATTATGATGGGCATATGTTGCCGAGATAGTAAAAGTACATAATTGATAACAAATAACAAAATTGTATTTTTCTTTCTTAAAAATAAAGGGCATAAAAAGCATTAAACAAAAAAAAATAATAGTTTGGATGTTGTGAATTAATTTATTAAACTCGTGACTCGTTTCATGAACTTAATTTGGTTCAACAAATCTTTTTATTAATTTTTTAACCCAAATATAAAATAGTAAAAAAATAAACCCCAAAAAGATCCCCTAGGGAGTTTTTTTTTAAAAAAAAAAAAGAACATCCGAAGCATTTAGTTTTTTAATTTCTTAAAAGGAAACATAACATTTTGTTCACCTAAACATCAAAGATCACTAGAAAAACATGGTTTTTTTTTTCTTAAAACTCTATTTTCAATCTATTTTAATTGTAAAGACTTAAAAAAAACATCCTAAACACCTTGATAAACATATCAAGAATCTCAAAAAACTAAAATCAACTCAAACCTAAAAAAGTTTTTGTGGTCATATTTGCCTCCTTAAGCAACAAAAATGAAAGAAAAAATATCTAGGTGAAACTCCTATCGTTAAATAAAATTTATTAATATTGATTTCAATATTTTTAATGGTCAAAATTATCAACTATAGCTTTCTCTCTCTTCAGTTGATTTCAAAAACCTTCTCTCTTTTTTCTAACAAAAAAATCTAAAAATGAGATAAATGAATTCTGTATCAAAATTAAATTTTTAAAATTTAAAGGGATTGGGCACCTATAAATTAGAAAATATAAGGGATCAATGTATTTTACTAAAGACACCACTTACTTTACTCGTATTTTTATATTTGATCATTTGACTTTCAAATCAATCCTCTCTTGAAAAAAATAAGTAATTAGGAGTTAATTTTAGCTTAAAATAACTTAATTATCCAAAGAAAAAATTCAAGGATTAAATTGAAAATTTTTTAAAATAAATCATTATTACAATTCACAATCATTTATAAAAAGATGAATAGTGATTTTAGCTCAATATTTGTCTCCCTAGGCTTAGCTTCTATTAATACTATGATTTCTTGTTATATTTGAAAGGGAAGGTATAGAGAAGCGTTGGATTTAAAAAACCGGATGAGATAACCATGGTTAGTTTGGTTTCGACTTCAGCTAAGTTGAGGGACTTGGAAATGGAAAAAAATTTCATCTTTGCATTGAGGAAAATAAGTCAAGGATAAGCGGCAGTTTGTAGAATTGTTATGAAGAAAAAATTAGGGAGAGGAGCTTGGTGTTGTGGACTCCGGAGATGTCCGGTTATATTCAAGGTGGGTATTATTATTTTGAAAGTTTAGACAATTCAGGTTTGAAAATGTAAGCCTGCATCAGGTTGCTCGTCACAGCACTTTCAGCTCATGTTCATGTAGAAGACTTTGAATTAGGAAGAGTTGCTTATACCTTGATTGTGACATACAGAATGATTGTGAATGGATTTCTTGGGAATGCTGGAGACTTGATGAAGTTTGCGTAACTTTTGAGCAGTTGCCATATAAAAGTGCATCATCATGGAATTTAATATGGCTTCTTCCAAAGTGGAGGTGCTGATAGGGCAAGAAACTTCTTCAAAATGATTCCAGAGAAGGATATAGTTTCTTGGAACATTATGATCAGTTTTTATGTAAAACACGATCTGTTTAGTGAATCATTTGAACTTGTCTGCAAGATGTAGAGTTCAAATGTGTACTTGACATTGATCAGCTTGCTTTCATTCTGTCCTAATGCTTGAGCCCTGAATCATGGCATTTGGGCTCATGTGTTCACAGAGAAGAACAAGATTGACATGGATGCTATGCTGGGAACTGCCTTAATTGACATGTACGGGAAATGCGGGTGCGTTGACATGGCCTATGAAATCTTTTCTCAAATAATTTACCAGAATGTATTTGTTTGGACTGCTACGATAGCAGCATATTCCATGGAGGGGCATGCCCCCGAAGTAACTAGTCTTTACTTGAAATGGAGGAAAGAGGAGTAAAACCAGATCATGTCACTTTCATAGCTCTTCTAGCTGCTTGTAGCCATGGAGGTTTAGTTGATGAAGGCTACAAATATTTCAACAAATTGAGAAATTTCTATAATATCATTCCAACGATTCATCATTATGGCTGTATGGTTGATCTCCTGGGTCGAGGTGGACACTTGGAAGAAACAGTCAAGTTCATTGAAAGAATGCCAATAGAACCAGATGTCTCTATATGGAGTTCCTTAATGAGGGCATGCAGAAGTCACCGCAATGTGGAATTAGCAGAGCATGCATTTAAACAGCTCATAGAGAAAGACCCTACAAATGATGGTGCTCATGTACTTCTTTCGAACATATATGCAGATGCAGGCAGATGGGATGATGTGAGCAAGGTGAGAACAAAGCTACATGAGACAGGAGTACCGAAGCAACCAGGTTTCGCTATCATAGAACAAAATGGAGTTGTTCATGAATTTGTCGCCTCAAACCTTGTGCCTGGGTAGGACTTCTTCCATTATCGAGTTAAGACGTTTTGCCCTGTGCCTTCCAAGGATTTGAAATAATCCAATAAACTCTTAGCCTTGCATGTAGAACTGGTTGATGAAAGCTCCATGAGGTGCATGGTAGTATCTCCTCAGCCAAGTTAGAGACTGGTTGAGGTGGTGAGGTTCATAAAAAATAATATTTTCAACTCAAATAAATTTCCTTTACTCGGATCTGTTCATGAGTTTGGCATTGCATCTCTAAAACCTTGGCCGAAGACACCGCATCCCCGGTGAAGCAGAGGAAAGGGTGGTCGAAAAATGGTGGTGAAGAATACTAACTTCTGTCATTGTGCACCACTAGATGGGGCCCTGCTATGATGCGGTCCAGCCCAAGGTTTTTTAGATGTTCAAAAACAAAACACCAAGGCAATGCAAGCATTTAAAAAGAGGCTAAAATGAAATCCGAAACTTGGGTTATTAATTCGATTGGTTTAATAAATTCAATTAATGTAAATAATATAAATAAATAAATATAATGATAATAAATAAATTAACCAAAACAAAGTTAAAAATACATAATTAAGTTCATTTAAGTTAACATATCAAATCTATGATTTAATTATGATATTGGAGTAACTTATTGGCAAACTTAATAAAACATCAATTATAAAATAATCAAATATTCAAGAATGGATTTGGAAAGAAATGAGAAAATAAAATAAAAAAAATTGTATCAACTCTAGTTAACCTATCAATCATATAAAAATAAAAACAAAAAAAATTAATTCTTAATAAATTAAATATTTAAAAATAAAATAAAATAATAATTTTAAAATAAAATCTACAGAAAACCAAGATCAACATCATGAGTTTTCAAAACTTGTGATTTTAATCATGTTTTTTCAAGGATAATAATCTTTATAATAAGCTAATACAATTTTAATTACCTGAATTATCCTAAAAATCAGATAATTACCTACCGATCTTTTGAAAACTTTCAAATTACTCAACAATTTTTTTAAGTAGGGGATCAAAATGTTAATCATCATATTCAAGTTAATAAATCAATAAAATATTAGTCTAATAATTAAAATATCGTTATATCTCTATAAACATAAAAAAAGAAATTTGATCCTCAAAAAATATATAGCCTCACTCTTTAAAAAGAGTGAGAGGATATTCAATTAAACATAAATAAAAAATATTATTTTAAAATATTTCTAAAATAAATATATTAAAAAAACATCATCTACCACAGTATTAAATATGCTATTTACAGTCCACTGCTCCAGCCTTTAATTTCAATATATAATTCAATATCCAATAAAAAACAAAAGAGGGCATCACGAAATCACAGGAAACATTTCGTATAATGAGAGATCCCCACGCTGCTCTTGGACCTCACTAGCAGCCAAGCAAGAACTTCCGTTCAGGTGCAAATGACCTTCAGATCTGTGGAGAAGGTCAAATCACATAGCCATGAAAGCTTGCATCAGAAGCCTTGGGAAATCTTGTCATACAGGGACAGTATCAAGCAGATCTAGTACCACCTTTTCCAAGGTGGGTTCTGCCGTGATTTTATTTTTTTTTTATAAAATTACTGGTAAATCTTGATCAGCCGCCGCTTTTGGTGTATTCGTGTTGTTTTTCTAAAAATATTTTTTATTAAAATATATATTAAAATAATATTTTTTTATTTTTTTAAATATACTTTTACATCAAAATAATATAAAAACACTAAAAAATTAATTTAAAATTAAAAAATTAAAAAATATTTTTGAAATGGGCAAAATCAAGGTACAATTTTTTTTTAGGAACAAAGCATTGCTAAATAGCGTCCACAATCGACAATGATAAATTATGAAGCTAACAGGAAATAATGAGCAGTATATAATAAGTAGCATCTTATATATTCAGTCAAAAACATGTTGTTGAGCTTGCAGGCTTATACAATAACTTATGCTGCAATGGAGGTCAAGGATAAATAATTTGAGCAGCCATAGTAATCGGCTGCAACAGTTTTACATGAATTGCAAGGCAATACAAGCCTGAATTATGGAAAGCAAAAACTAGCCATAACCATGAATGATGAAACATAAACTGCGAAGGGAACAATGTACAAAACGACCATCCATGGCTGCTAAGAGATGCACATATACAGCTCTTTATAAACAGATGATCAGGGATGCCTACCTTCGCATTAGTTTCATCAACCATTGGCATAATGGCAGTTGGTAATTGTTGCCACTGCCGTCATGGAGCTTCAATGGTGCCAGTTTCGAAAAGTCCCTTCCAGTTGCTTGATGGGGGAACATCCACGGCAGATTTACTGGTGGTATTCTCCAACTCCTCATCAATCATAATCTCCTCTGAACGGCAACTCAAACTGCAAAATGCTTTCTCGCCTCTGCATGAAATCAATTCAACCTAGCATCTTAAAATCAATATCCCTCATTAACATAATAAAATGGCTTATAGATAACTGGCACAAACCTGTATATGTAAATATCTTTTCCCTCGTCCAGTTTCTTGTTGCAATAGTAACAGAAGCTCAAGAAATCTTCAGAGGGAAATGAACTTGGAATCTTTGAGCAAGTAGCAGCCTGGGCCAATCCAATCTCCGTCTCTTTGTTCTTGCCAAAATTACTAAAGTCATTATAGTGACATTCCAAAATGCAGTCACCGTAAATATGAGTTGTTTTGGGGTTGGGACCATGTGAAATTACACATGTATAATCCTCAGAAAGCTCAATCTCACTTGCAGAGAGAGAACTGATAAATCCATTGCCAGAGCCAGCCGAAATCGGGGTACAAGTCAAATTTGTGTTCGAAAAGTTGTTTGTATTTGAGCTTCCTCCAAGTAATTGGGGAGGGCAATCAACTTGGGTAGTTATGTTATCCAAGGAAAAATTCAGAGAACTTGCTTTCAAGTTCTGGCCAGCCAATCGAGACATGGATGAAAATGATCTGCAAGAATCCAATGAACATGACCGAATCTTTCCAAAGGACTCAGATTCAAAAGGACCTTCTCCAATTTCAAAAAGAACACCAGAGCTGTCCTTTTGAAGCGGGGATTTGGTAAGTGTGCGAGGGAAAATTGCAAAATTTCTTGGCAATGACTTTGGTGCTTGAAAAGGATCGGTATGGGATTGAAAATTAGCGGTTTTACTTCGCACTCGGGGTCCAAAAAGAATGTTCTTACTCTCTGATGACTGGAGAACTCTGCCATATCCTTTCCCATGATCGTCGTCGTCGTCGTCATCAAGTGAATCTAAAATGCTCAAACCTACTTTGTTACAATCCCAGCTCTTCTGTTGCCCACCATGGGATGACCTTAGGGACTTATGGGGGTTTCCTATGTTTGAAAACATCCTACTATCCAGGGGAGATGTAGGGCTCCTAACAGAATCACAATCTGATAAGCCCTTATGACTTAACCCAACAAACAAGCCAGGGACATTGAAAAAAGAGTTAGCTTTGTGACTGTACCCCATGTTATTATCAGGTTGGAAATATGACTCAGAACCAGAATCAGACATTGTCAACTGACCCGTTTGTTGATCTTTCTTGAGTGACCTGGTTCTCTTCCTCAACATTGCCACAAAACCCTTCTTGGAAACACCAAAATTCCCCTTATCTGCACCCAAATAAGTATATGTTAATGAATTGCTACTATATTCAGAACTAAATTAGAATCAACACGAAACTGTTGACTAAACAAGGATCATTTATTAAACTGCATTGAAGAAACAGAAAAGGAAAACTTGCAAACACAAAAGGATCAAAACTTTCGAAGGAAGATCTTTCCAGTTAAGAAACCTCAAAAATCCCAAAATACCCACATCAAGAATTGCAAAAACGGTAAAGAAGGAATGACAAAATCCCACCTTGAAGATCACACAACATTTTCTATGCAAAACCGTGCTCCCACAATCAAAATCACTCAAAAAACAAAAATCCCAGATGATAAAACCTCGTTAATCCAATGAAAAGCCTCCGAGAAAAAATACCAGCAGTGCATAAGAGCATCATCAAGACATCAACTTTGACCAAAAAAACATTAAAACTTAAACAAGAAAAAGAAAACACAATGCATCATGATCATCACCATCTTCAAAAGAATGAAAAGAAAGCATACCAGATTTCCTTTTCTTTTCTTCCTCAATAAACCACGGAGAGAGATGATGTTTTTAAGGAAAAAGACACGAATGCAGCAAAGAAAAATATGGTTTTTTGTCAATTTCTTGGACTGTTTATGTGTCTGTTGTTGAAACTTGCACAGTCCTCCTTTATCTCTCTATCTCTATCCCTCAAAATCAGCGAAGCAGTGAGCTTCTGAAATACTCCACTCACTTTAACTTCCACACTCACACTCTCTCTCCAGAAATATACATTACATACCACCTTTCTTTCTTTGTTCCTTTCTCTCTCCCAGAGGAAGTACGTATGCAAATACTGTCTTTAGCCCACTGGTTTCTTTTTATCTTTAGAGTCGATTGGCAGGGTGTTGGAGTGTATTTTAAAATATTTTTTATTTAAAAATATTTTTAAATAATATTTTTTAAAATTATTTTTAATAATAACACATTAAAACAATCCAAAAATATAAATTAAATAAATTAAATTCTACTCGTAATACACCTACCCTACCAGCTACTTTTGTAGGTATGCGCATTTTTTCACCTCTACAGCATTTTACCCCCATTTTTTTATCTTCTCACTCTGTGCTTCATTAAATAAATGAATACCTTTTCTCACTGTAATGAATTAATGATGCTGTGAATTGAATTGTAATTAACCTTTTGACAGTCTTTGACTTTAATAAAGCAGGAGTAATTAGTGTAATAAATGGGTAATCTTGTATTGGTCTTGGCAAACGCTTTAAAAACTAGACCAAGTCAGTGGTATCTTCTCCTTTCTAGAGAGATGGGTGGCTCACCGCTTATGACTTGCTACGTGTAAGAATATATAAAGTTAGATGTAAATGTGCGATTTAAACCAGTATACCTTTCATTTTT